AGGCGTAGTAAGCAAGAAATTCACAGAAGGTCTGCGTGGCTCAGAAACACTAAATACAAATCTGCTCCTGCTGCTGAAAAGGAAGTTTCTACTAAAAAGGAAAAGGGAATCGACATTTTAAAATTTAGAAATCCCATCAAAGCTCCTGAGTCTATTTCCACCATAATCACTGCAAACTCAATCTTCCACAAGGGAGTATATTACCAAATTGATGATGTTGTTTCTGTGATTGATGAACAAGATGGAAAGCCCTGCTATGCTCAGATCAGGGGTCTTATTAAACCAGGGCCTCACATACACATTCTACCACTGAATTACATTCTCTTCCCTCTCTTTTTTGAATAGATATTCATTACTAAATGCTCATTGCCTGCTATATGATCACTCAAACCAACCAATTCCAAAAGGCAATTACAACTCTGCCTTGGATTTATATTGAGTATTATTTAACATAAGTAGACCATTAGTTGAGATTTAGAAATGGTTTGCTTTGCTAAGATTTGTCTTAAACAGCACTTCTGAAAAGCCAATTTTGAAGTCCTTGGTGTAATCTGAAACCATATACATTCCAGGAATCCATCTTGGTTGGTCTGATATAGTGGTAAAACCCAGTATTAACACCTAATTGGCTCTGCAGATTTAAGGTGAAGAAATCCTAGAAAGAGAGGGAACTCTGTGAGAAAAGAGGAAAGGAACCAGTAGAGTAGTAGGGTACTTAGATAAAGAGTTTTATGCAGAAAGGAGAACAGGGCAGAGAAAACAGTGTTATCTCTTCTCAGCCTTTGTTGCTCTTTGACTATTTCATAGACAAGTTCCCCTTTGGGAATTTTCTTTTTTGTAACAGATATCCTTCTGTTTTCATGAGGTGGAAGCCTAGTAATTGTTTCACTATTTCTTTGGTTTACTGAATATTATTGAGTTTCTTGAATACTCCTTAAAGGATTATTACTGTAAATACTACTCTTTTCTACCAGTTGAAATAACAACGGTTTTCCTATCAGCAGTATTCCAGGAATCTCCTTGTTGGGCCAGAAATCCCCACAGGATACCTTGGTATATTTTAGATCACAGATATACCTATACACTGCACTATAGATTTGAGTCATACTCCTCCAATACTAAGGACAGATAGACAATGTCTGAGCCTCTCTTCTTCTCCAGCCTGCTAACCTGTTTTCTTGCTATACATAAGCAGTGTCTTATGGAGCTATGTGGCAGGGTTAGAAAAGGGGGTATTACTCCAGGGTACTCAATTCCCCATGGCACATCAATGTTCTGTCACTAGTTTAGAAGGACTGAACTTGACCTTATTAGCAGCCCCTAACCAGCAATTTGACCTCAGTCAACTCATTAAATGCTTTGAGTCCCAATTTCCTCTTCTGTAAAATGAAACTAACAATTGGTTCCTCTTCCTGTTCACAGAATTGATGTTCTTCCATAAATCTATTAATCATCCATTCAATTAACATTTATTGAAATTTTATCTGTTTGTAAGGCAATGGGGACAAAGATGAAACAGTATATCTGCCCCAGAGGAGCTCCTAATCAGGGATTCAATAACTCCAGTACACAATAACACAATTTTTAAAAAAACATTACTTCATGCCAGTCAAGTTAGCTTTTCTTCTTTAAGAAAAATAAGTGTTGGCAAAGATGTTAATTAACATATATTGACATTTTATCTGCTTATAAAGCTATGGGGACAAAGATGAGACAGTACATATGCCTCAGAGGAGCTCCTGGTCAGGGATTTAATAACTCAAGTGCATAGTAACATGATTTTTGAAACTCCTTACTTCTTACCAATCAGGTTAGCTTTTTTAAAAAAAAAAAAAAAACAAGAAAGTTTTGATAAACATGTGGAGCCATTGGAACTGTTGTGCACTGTTAGTGGCAATATAAAATGGTGCAGTTTCTATGGACTACAGTATGGCCTTTCTGTGAATAGTTAAAAATAGAATTATAGGGGCTGGGGTTGTGGCTCAGTGGTAGAGTGCTCACCTAGCATGGGTGAGGCACTGGGTTCAATCCTCAGCACTGCATAAAAATAAAATAAAGATATTGAGTCCATCTATAACTAGAAAATAAATGTTTAAAAAATCGACTTATCCTGTGATTAAATAATCCCACTTCTAGGTATATACCCAAAGTAGAAATCAGGGACTCTAACAGATACTTACACATCTATGTCCATAGTAACAATGGTCACAATAGCCAAAAAGTGGAAACAATGTGAATGTCTGTCAAAGGATGAATGGGTAAATAAAATGTGGTATATGCATACAACAGAAGATATTCATCCACAAAGGAGAAATGAAGTTGATACAGTGACAGCACAGATGAACCTCAAAAATTAAATGCTGTGTGAAATAAGCCAGACATGAAAGAACAAATATGGTATTATTCCACTTCTGTGAGGAACTCAGGGTAGAAAAGTATATGGAGACAGAAGGCAGAACACTGGTTGCCAAGGGTTGGGGAGAGGTGGAGCGTGGGGAGGCTGTGTTTCATGGAGACGAGATTTCAGTTTGGGATGATGAAAATGTTCTGAAAGTGGGTTGCACAATACTGTTGATAAACTTAACACTCTGAAAGACATTTATAATAGTTTAAATGGTAAATTCATGTTTATTATACCACAATTTTTTTAAACTTTATAATTACTAAAATGCTATACAAATGCAAAGATTTTATAATTATACAAAGATTTTATAATTATAAAATTGTATAATTATAAAATCTTTGCATTTGTATAACATTTTAGTAATTATAATTTTTATCTGTATGGATACTTTTCAATATCATCAATAATGATGAAATAATTTTATGCATACAGCACTTTTTAAAGCATGAATTGATTATAAACACAATCCCTCTACTTCTAATTGAAGTTTACAATCCTTGCATTTGTATAACATTTTAGTAATCATAAAGTTTTTTTTAAATGTGGTATAATAAACATGAATTTACCATTTAAACTATTATAAGTGTCTTTCAGAGTGTTAAGTTTGTCAACAGTATTGTGCAACCCACTTTCAGAACTTTTTCATCATCCCAAACTGAAATCCCGTCTCCATGAAACAGCCCCTGTGGTGTCTCCTTCCTCTAACCCTCTCCCAACTTCCTGGCCAAGCCCAGCTCCGCTCACATGAAGCAGTCAGATTTCATCTTCTCCAAGACCTCTGCAGCCCACCTCCCTTCCCCTTCTCCCTGCAGTCCCTATTTAACACCTCAGTTACACATTAACTATTTATTAGTTAATGAAGATTGTAAATGAATTGAAAGCCTCATGACCTTTGCTTCATTTCTTGGGAGAAATGAGAAACAAGGACCATTAAACCAAAGATCACATCGAAGATTTTTATTAGAAATAATAATACACTTATAGAATGATCTGTGAGAGCCAGGAGGGGTCGTCAAGATTATTTAATCCAGTCCTTTGGCCCATAAAGAAACTAACACCCTGAGAAAGGAAGTCATTTATCCTGTATGTTAGAAGAATAAATAGAATTGAAAGTTCAGTTTTCCAAAATCCAATATTTTTATAACACCATGCAGGTTTCATTCTAATTATGTTTTATTTAATAATTGGTAAATAGTCTTTAGATGCACTTAAATGTAGGCCAAGAATGGAGTGGAAAGAGCACTTGCTTTGCCAAAGACATAGATCTTCGGTAAGTCACCTTAATGGCTCTGGCCTCCATTCTTTTTGACTATTTCTGTGGTTGGTTTGGGTTGTTTTTCCATCTGTAAAAGAAAAAGATAAATTGGATTACCTTTAAAGTTATATCTGATTTTAGCATTTTATGAACCTACTAGGGAGTCGGCCTAGCCTCTCCAAAGAATTTGCCAGTACTCGATACAGCAAACACTCCGTGCCTCTTCTCCCTGCTGCAGCCAGTATGATGTTCTTCTCAGCCTGGGACATATTTCCTCTCCTTTACTCCCTCACTTAAAAAACAAACAAATAAAGAACAACAACAAAACTCTGAGTAGGGCCAGGGATGTTTTTCAGTGGTAGAATATTTGTCTACTATATGCAAGGCCCTGGGTTCGATGGCAAAAAAAGAAAATAGAAAAAAAAAATTCTGCTTAAAAATTTCTCTCAGCTCAAAATTGTGTCTTCCCAACTCATTTGATGCCCTTCACTGTATATACCTGTTACCTTATTGAAATCATTTATTTTCGTGTCTCTTCCATTAGACTTGGAGGTTACTCAAGCTACGATTGCGGTGCATTTCTCTATCCCATGAGCCTGTTTTTGTGCCTGAGTCACAGCAGGGAGTCAATAGGTGTTGGATAAAATACCCCCAAGAACAAGATTGTATTACAGATTTCATCTGCAGCTGTTGGGGATTTCAAGGATAATTAGAATTTGTGGGGCAGGGGAAATGGCAAATAGTGATAACATCTGCCTAACTAAAGAGATGGGGGTAACCAAGGAGTTAGTGATATCAGTGTTACTCATTTGAATAGGAAGTCCAGTTAGATTCCTCTAGCAAGGGTCCTTGCAAAAATTACAGATTCCACCTGTAGCCCCTAGACACTGCTCTCATTCTGAATGTGCGAGTCTGGATTTACCTTTACAGCCAGCTCTTTAATAAATATTTTTATCACATGGATGAAGAGTCATAAAATCTTGGAAGGAACTACTTAGGCAGTAATGGGCAACTGAAAGCTATGTAAATTCTTGAAAAGGAAGAACAATGACACAATGAAAATAAAGTTTTAGGAAGAGTGTAGCTCAGTGATGTGCAAAATAAGTTGTTGGCTGTGTCTCAGAGGCAAGGGCGAGCCCCTAAGAGTGCACCAAAGTGTTCAAGGTGAGGAATTTAGAGCCTTCTTCATGGTGATGACACCAAAGGTGGAAAACAAACTGACACCAGGAGTCATGATGAAGGGTGAAATGACAGGTTGAATAGAAGGTATGATGGCAGAGGGGAGCTTGAAACAACACCTGTGTTTTAGGGACTCTAGAAAAATAGCAGTTCCCCCCATACGCATGGCATTTCCATCCAGTGACTTCTAGCTCAGCTTGATGGGACTGAGGTGTCTGGGAGGCATCCAGTTTATGATGTTGAATCCATTGGCAATGTGGGCTTGAGTAGGACCAAAGGCTTGGAAGGAAGAGAAAGATGTGGGCGAGTCAGCAGCAGGAGGGAGAGAGGGGAAAGGAGCCTGGGAACCTGAGTTCAGATTTGTAAAATTGATTTTACTTTCTTACGTGTGTTCATGTCATAGAATAGCAGGAATAAAGAAAAGTCTTGGTGGAGCTGGGGGTTGTAGCTCACATGGGTAGCATGTGGGAGGCCCTGGGTTCAATCCTCAGCACCACATATAAATAAATAAATGAATAAAATAAAGGTATTGTGTCAGCTGCAACTAAAAATATATACATATAAAAGAAAAGAAAAGTCTTGATGGCAAATTGCTTGACAATAATGAGCAATAATAGACTTCTGGCAGATTGGTTTCTAAAACGATATTCTTGTGTTAAACAGCTGAGAAGTGGAGGTAATGGGGGTGAGGGGCAAGTGTCCAAAGGGAGCAGATGAGGATGCATGGACAGAGAAGAAACTTAGAAGGGAATCTAGCACATGTTGCATGTACCTCAGTGGTCCTGCTCACCAAGCAGGGTTGCATTATTATTTTCAAGGGCAGATTCTTCCATTCTTGCCACTTGGTTATGGTGTCTTCTGAAAGAAGCAGGAGTTGTCACAGAATGGAACTGGACATCCAAAGTTCTGCTTTTGTAATCACCATGAAATATGGCTTCAGAGAAGAAACGTTCCTTTAAAACATATTATGTCACCATTTCCCCCTTAATGTTCTAAGAGACAGTGGAACCATTTTGAAATGTAAAACAAAGTGTTCAGGGACCAGATGGCTCAAGCCTGTCATCCCAGTGACTAGGGAGGCTGAAGCAGAAAAATCCCAAATTTGAGGCCAGCCTCAGCAACTTAGTGTCTCAAAAAAAAAAAAATTAAAAAGGGCAGCAGGGTTAGGGTTGTAGCTCAATGGTAGAGCACCCCTGAGTTCAATCCCCAGTACAGGAAAAAAAAAAGAAATCTGGAAGTTGAAACAGAATGCTAGGATCCCAGGAGGACACTAGTGTGGGACACATTAATGCAAGCTGCCAGAAGTGTCATAAACTCGGGTGGTTTCCTAATTACAGTCCTCTGCCTCTGGGTAGATATCCACCAGATATAAATTGCTGTAGGTGCTTCAATGTTTTTAAATGACTTGAGTACTACCAATACTTTCTGGTCATTTGCACTATATATGCTTTATGATTTTCCATGTAAATCCTTGAGAGTCTTTTCTGTGAGCAAAGTAACATACTTTGGAATACCAGCAGGCAATCCTCAGCAAGAGACATAAATTTTCTTCTGTTTTAAAGGAAACAGGAGAGAAAAGAAAGAATAATAGCTTCATGAAGGTATCAGGGTTATTATTATTTTAAAAATTTGAACTGAAATATAGGCCGCCAGTTTTCAGAGGACTTCCTGTCATTGGAGTTATATCTGTCACACCCCAAAAGGTAAAATGAAGCAGTAGAATATAGACTAATTTCTATAGACTAATTTCCAAACTACAAACTGGGACATGACCTAACAAGGGATTTTTTTCTTCTTCTTCTTCTGAGTTGTAACTATTTTCCTATATCAGATTCCTAAAAATTCCTAAGATCTCTAAGTTCCTATATGATTATTGGATAATAGGATTTATTTCCACTTACCACTGAGTTATTTCTACTATCTCACTCATTTAATCATCAATCCATCCTTAAGCTGACCTGCTGGTTCTCAGGCCCAGTGCTTGGTGAGAGCAGAGGAGGCTGGATGTGTTCTGGTTGCTATGAACACTGAATTGGTGCTGTGGCTCTAGTGATGTCGTGGCTCATGGAAACAGATTGGTACTGACATAGCAACTGTCATTGTTTCAGGATGGTTTATAAAAAGCCAAGAATCTCTTAGCTAAGTATGGTCTTAAGGTAATTTTTGGTAGTCTCATATACTTCTTGTCAAGAAGTATTTTATCCTCTGTCAGTGCATATACTTTATCAGTCTTGTCTTATAACAAGCATAGATAAATAGATACAAAAACCCATTTTAAGAATGACTTATTGAGCTATAACACGTGTAAACTATATGACTTATTTATAGTTCTCAAATGGGGCTTGCGTGCCATTACTTCCAGTAATATTCATCTTAAAATGCCATGTAAGACATTTTTTTAAAATTATAAAAGCAGTAGATGTTTCATCCATTTAAGAAAGTCAGACATTGTCAAGGGTGTAAAGTAAAATGTAGAAATTCCTCTCTTTATATTCTAGTCTTCAGTTCTACTCTCCAAATGCAATCCCTGTAATAATATCGTCAGTGTCTTTGCATTTGTTTTTGAAGCACTTATAATTTTACTTGTAGTTTTACACACACAGACTGACACACACACACACATTTATTTTTTTAATCTGGACTATCAAGAATTTATTCATTCCTTAAAACAATAAAAATAATTTGCTCTCATATTTTTCCAACACACATTGATTTTTATGTAATTTGATACATACTGTCTGCATTTTGCTTTTTTAGTTTTTCTTAAAATACCTGGGCTTTGTCATGTTGTCATGTACCAATTGATCTCATTCTTTTTAACAACTGCATGACATTTCACTATATATATGTGCCATCATTTTTTTTACAGGTACTTAAGTAATTTCCAGTTAATATCTGGTTATCTTTGAAATTATACTGTTTGAGTGACTGTGAACATTCCTAGAAATGAAATTAGTGAGTCAGGATCATGCGATGTTTTGTTTTGTTTTGTTTTGTTTTGTTTTGTTTTGTTTTGGTGGTGCTGGGGACAGAACCCAGGGCCTTGCATTTGCAAGCACATAATCTACCACTGAGCTACAGCTTCAAGCAGCTGTAATATTTCTAAGTTATCTTCTAAAATGCTTGCACAAATTTACATTTCCACTCATATTGTCTGAGAGTGTTTCCATATCCTCATCTTCCTTTAGGATTTGAAATTTCTACCATCCTCAAAGATGAAAATGATTACTCCTGTTTAAACATGCCTTTGTTGGATTAGTGTATATTGAGTATTTCTTTCCCATAAGACTAACAATCATTTGTTTGTTTGAGTGAATTTCTCATTTCATGTCTTTTTCCCATTTTTTTTCTGTCGAATTATTTATTCCTTGCCTTATCCATTTTTAAGAGAGGAAAAAAAATCCTTCTCTGAGATAGGCTTCCATTTAATATATAACCCACTAACAGTTCACAGGAAACCATAAATGTATATATTGTACACATGAACACTTGTATAAACACTTGGTTACCCTCTTGAAGCCCTAAAAAAAAAAAGAAGCATCCGTGTGGTCTCGTAGCCCAAGGTGAGAGAAAACAGGCTGTTTGGGATAGATGTGGGGACTGGCCTCCCTCTTTCACTTGGTTTTCTATTACTGTATAAAAAGTGACCACAAACTTGGCAGATTAGCTCAGAGTTTCCCTGGGACAGGAGTCCAGGCACAGCAGGACTGGGTTTTCTGTTCCAAGTCCCATAAAGGTAAAGTCCTAGGAGTTGACTTGCTGCATTCTCAGAGAGAGCTCTGGATCCTCTTCTAACTTCATGTAGTTGTGGTGGGATGCCATTGCCTGCAACTATAGGGCCGACTTCTTCCTTACTGGCTGCCATCCAGGGGGCCACTCTCAGATCCCAAAGGCTACCCTTGTACCTTGTCACATGGCTCCTGACCTCTCCAAAGCCAAGAGAGAGAAATTTCCCATGCTGAATCCTTCTTGTGCTTTGAATCTCTGTGATGTCAAGGCCCAGATCTAAGGAACTTGTATGATTAGGACAGGCCCCACTGGATCACCTATCTTAAGGTCAACTAAGGAGTAAAATCTCTTTACAGAAGCACTTAAATCAGTGTTTGACTGACTCACTTTGAAGAGGTGTTTGTATACCAGGGACTAGGAATTTGGGGGCCATCTCAGAATTCTGCCCACCAAACCCTCTATTACCTCTTTCTAGGGAAAGGGTTTGTTCAATGATGGAGGAAAGGCCATGATTAGCATCTGTCTAACCCAGGGATGGAAAAAGACATTCGTGTGGGTCAAAGATCTTGATGTGAGCAATGGAACAGCAGAAAGCTTTAGAGGAAATCGAGGAAACCACACGTACAATGTGAAGGTCAGGCAGACCTTCTTGACCAAAGATCCAAACGTGATATTCCCCACCTCAGCACCCGCTCTCTTGACACCCTCAGGCCACATAGCCCACCCAGAGGACAGGCTTCATTCATGGATTTTGAGCCCTCTAACTTTGCTGTTTCTTCTTGATATCAGTGTGAGCAGAGTGTGCTTTTGTGAGATGCCGGAGTTCAATAGAACAGAATGAACTGACCAGGATCTAAGGGGACCGGTGTTGATGAGCATAATTCTAAAAGAACTCTCAAAGAGCACTCCTCCCTCCCTTTGTTTCTTTTTCTTTCAATCTCCCACCTGCTGCTGTGATTCAGACGCATTGTACGTGACTTGCTTGAGACTGAAGAAGTGTACATAAAAGAAATGGAGAGCATAATCGATGTAAGTAGATTGGGAGGGTATTAAGCATAGATGCAACAAAGAGACTGAAAATAGTTGCTTTGTCTCTAGAATCTCACCAAGTTTTCAGTCTTATAATAAACAGCACAATATCTCCTCGGTTTGAAAAGGAACATCCTTATGGCTCTGGGTCCTTGTAACCAAATAGCTCCAAAGGATTGTGCCAGTTCATACGGATCCCAGGAATACCCAACTAGGCTCACCACATGCTTGCCAACAAAGGGTATTATAATATAAGTACTTTTGATGCTTAAGAAGGGAAGATTCTTTCTTGTGTTTTAAGATATTTTTTTCTTAAGAGTAAAAATGTACACTTTCCTTCTTCTCCTAAAGGAGTAATCTTAAGGAAAAAAATTATATGTACAATGTTATTTATTATACATTTTTCACAATAAGAAAATCAGAAGCAACCAAAATATGCAATTAAAAAATGGAATGGTTAATAAAATATAATATATATGCTGAATAAATAGTATTCAACTGTTTTTAAAAATGTGATTCTTTTGGAAAATAAGTAGCAACATTAAGAAAATCTCTTGAGAGAGCTTTATAAACTGAGTCTGTAATGAACCTGAAAAAAGTACAAATAAATATGTATCATGATTATAACCATATAAAATAAGCTTTTTAAAAGTTATGAAGTAAATATAATAAAACTTAACAGTGATTGCAGCAGGTCAAAAAATGATGGGTAAGTTTTTTTCCTTTCTTTCACATTCTACTCATATAACTTATACACATTTAAAAATATATATTAGTTCTTCCAATTAAAATGTCACTTTGTTGTCATTGCCATTAAGCCATCTCCTTCTGAAGATGGACACATAAGGAAACTGATATCTAAAGAACATATTTAATAGAATAGCTTTCAAGAAGCATGTGTACTGTATTGCCCAATTATTTCATTAAAGTTTTGGTTCTTGAAGTAGCTGATTCAGATCATCTCATATAATATCTGTAAAACCTACCTTGTTTCCACCTCTGCAGGGATACATCACTCCAATGGATTTTATCTGGTTGAAACATCTGATTCCAGATGCTCTTCAGAATAACAAGGACTTTCTCTTTGGGAATATTAAAGAACTTTATGAATTTCATAGCAGGTACATAATAATTCACATTATGGGGAAGAAATGAAAAGTAAAAGAAGAGCAAAAATCAGACTGATGGAATTTGGAGATGAAAGTGTTTTCATATGGTCAAGCCTGAGCAAGTGATTTGGAGTCTGTGGATTGGATTGGAGTAGGATGGGCATGTGAGGGGGAAAGAAGCTCCAAGGGATCCCTGAGGAATAAAGAAGGGGAAAGACACCATTGGCCTGTGTCCTAGGTGTCAGGCATCAGTGCTGTACTAGCTGTGTTCCTTTGCTTGTTTATTTAATCATGCATCAGCATTTACTGAGCACTTATTCTATGCCAGGCCCTGTGCTCAGCATTGGAAATACAAAGATGACCAAGATACACACCCACATGCCCCATTAACATAGAATGGCACGGGGTGCTAGAAAATGCTAACTGGCCAAATAAATTGTCCCTCTAGCCCAGTGTTGCTTGGATGTTGAGTTTTAGAGAAAGAAAAGAGAAGACACTTCAAACCCTCCCATTTCACACATAAGTATACTGCAGCTCCTTGACTACTTTACCCTCTGAAGACCTTTCACCTGATTAATGGAGAAGGAAAGATTGCTGGGCAAATTGAACCATAGTTGTCTCCTAACCTCATCTTTTGTCCATTGGTCAGACACAAAACTGAAATGAAATCCCATGGCTGCTACTTTCCCAAGAGAAGTAATTCAGCCTCTTTGAGCCTCAGGTGTCACACTGATGAAACTTGTCTTGCAGAATTTGGTCAAGAATTAAATGAAATGTTTGTTTGTGAAGCACTTGGTTGTGCCTGGCTGATAGTGAGCTCTCAAAGATGTTGATAGAAGCAGCAGTGGCGGCGGGAGCAGTGGCAGATGCTATGAACATTACCGTCATGTAGCATCAGTGTATCCCATCTGTCCGCGGCTGATGCTCAGAATGACCAGAACAGCTCAGAATGACCAGAACAGCTGTGGTGGTTTCATGGTCATCATAAGTAATGCCTCAGAGTACATTTTTTCCCCTCACAAATGAATGTGTAGAAGATGGTCAGCAGCAATAAAGCCTAAAGAATAGCATTTTTCTACACACTTCTTAAAACTTTATGTGGTTTTACCTTAAACAATTTGAATCCCACACATGTAGCAATCAAGACATCCTTATGTTTTTTATTTCCTTAGGACTTTTCTAAAAGAATTGGAAAAGTGCACCGAAAACCCTGAACTTCTGGCCTGTTGTTTTCTCAAGAGAGTAAGTCTGTGGTCCCAGTGAACAAAAATAACCATGTGATTAAAGTCAGTCTTTGTTTTTCTGTGTAAGTGACAAGGACAAATTGAAACACCAAAGATCTAAAAACATCTCTGCTTTCCCTGATCCCCAGATTTATTGACATATAATTGACAAATAAAAATTTCATATATTGGAGATACACCACCTGATGATATGGTATATGTATACACTGTAAAATGATTACCACAGTTAAGTTTATTAACATCTGTGATCTCAAATGGTTATCATGGTGTGTGTGTCAGAGTGTGATCTAAAAAGAGTTAAAACTCATAAAAGCAGAGAGTACAAGTGGTGGGAAGAAATGGGAAGATGTTGGTCAGAGGGTACAAACTTTCAGTTACAAGATGAGTAAGTTATGGAGATGTAATACATAGCACAGTTAATATTACATGTTATATACTTGAAATATGCTAAGAGAGTAGCTCTTCTATCTGACTTTCAAATGCACTGCAGGGATCCTTTGTAGCCCTATTAGTCTCCCAAGTTACACTGGGCTCACACTCATAGGGAGGAGCAACTGCAGACCTGGCTTCCTGCAAAGCCCGTGAAATGGAAGGTTGGCCACCCAAGGTCCTCATAGTGAGTGATCCTCTTCTGAATGACTAAGCTGTGTTTTAGGGCATGAATCATACAGCAGGCTTAAAGCCCCATGCTGAAGTTATATTAATACTCTCAAAATACTGAACTTAAATTGAAAATTTCAGAAATTATATTTTCTTCCATTTTATTTAATATCATAGGAGATGATTAGAAATCTTTAACTCTATATCCTTTCTTATGCTTAGCACCCAATTTGTGAATTTCCTGTCCTACAACAACAAACCTCTATTTACCTCCCTTTCCCACCCGCTAGCCCTGGTCCTTCTTTCCTTACCTGTTTCTCTATCCCTGCTTTGGGCTAGTGGGACTGTTTAATCCAACATCTTCCCCTTCACCATGTTTCCCGCCCCCGTAGGATGCCCCCTGGTGTCCTCCACTTTCTCAACCTTTCCCATTTCTTTTCTCTTTCCTAAGAAGTCCTGCCTTACTTTTTGTGAACCCAAGTCAATGATGTAACACATTTTAAATACCCAAGTTATGATTGATACATCTGAAAGCAATACTTGAGTTATCTAAAAGCAAGCAAACAAAAGTCCCTGGGTTTCAAGGCACTTGATGGAATGGAGAAACCAAGTCCTCTGTGACCCTGTATGGGATCCCCACAGTTTCATCAAATGCCAGAATTTAAAACACACTAAAACTATTTTTGTATTCAATCTGATTCATTCCCTTTTAAAATTACTACTGTAATATGATTAGTGTTTTATTCTATTTTTGCACTTTTACACTCATAAAACCATTAACGGGGAATCTAGTTTCAGAATTAAGAACTACTTTATGGTTGCTTATATCATTCTTCCAAAGGTTAAATTGTTGAATGAAAAAAGGGACAAATTCCTCAAGGAAAAATAGATATGATTTTAATAAAAAGGTTCAAGTATGAGGAGACAGTCAGGAAATTGCTGACTAAACAATGTGTTCTTAAAATAATTCCTCTCCTGTACTTTCACAAAGCTTTTATAGCCCTTCGTGTTGAGGGAAACCTTGGAAATCATTAATCTAGACCAAAAACCATGCTATTAATCCTGTATGATTTATAATGCTGGAGATAAAATACAGGGAATAAAAATGATAGCAGTCTATCCTGTCTCAGTAACATTTCAAAATTGCACCAATCTTGGAATTGAATTTTGAACTATTTCTGACCAAGTGTCTTAATCAGATTCCATGGCCTGTCTCATCCAAAAGGTTCTCCCCAAGAGACCCTGCTCTCTGTAGAATGGTATTTGTCAGGAGTTTACTTGGAGTTAGAATTGCCCTGAGATCTCACATGATCAAATGTGGGACTCCGAAAAGGTAACTTCTCATTGAAGTTGAGCCACTGGCTATTTGTATGACTCAAGCAAACTCTCAAAATCTCACTTGCCTCTTCTATACCACACGCTTAATGGCACCAATATGCAAAGTCATTGTGGGAAACAAAAGTAAGAATGGCCGCACAAGGGTTCTACAAAATAAGAAGTGTCTTGACAAGAGTTACAATTTTCTGAGTACTGTGCATAGAGAGGGCAAATGTTGAGGCTTTCTGTACATCATCTCATTGGATCTTATTTCTTACAATAATCCCAGAAGTGTTATGAGCCTATTTAACAGATAAGGAAACTGAAGTCAAGGACGGTTAAGTAACTGACTTCAGGCCATGTAGATTATCATTGACAAAGGAGAGAACTGAACCTGGACCATCTACCACCAAAGCTCATAGTCTGAATCTATAGCAATCATGTCTCCTTGTATGAATATGAGTTTTTGATAGCAGTTTTATAGCCTTCTGATTTATTCTATAAGGAGATGAGGGGAATTAGTATTTTCATATGTTGCTAGTTAGTATACATCCTTTCTCAAGGGAATTTTTGACTATTCACTATTACAAAAACAATTTAGGCCAATACCTGTATTTCAATACTTAGAGGCTTATGTTCTGTTTTGCCCAGAGAGCAGAATTAGGACCAAGGAGTGAAGGCTTCAGAAGGGTAGCTTTCAACTCAGCAACTATCAGTAGAACCAGGTCCCTCTATTACTAAGAGAGTTCAGGAAAAGATGATTGGTTGTTGAAGTTCTTGTACTGGATGAGAGGCTTAGTCTCCAAAATCACCTCCAGACTCTGAGAATCTTTTGATGACTGAATGTCGAAAGCAATGAAACCTTGGATTATTTTATAGGATCTAATATCATTATGACCTGACAGACTAAATGTAGATAAGATGTCTTAATTGATTTTCAGTGTTTTACAAGTCTGGTCTTCAGTATGACAGGAATGTTTCCTATGGCCAAACCACTAAGCTATTTGAAACATTGAATTTAACAAACATATTTAACACAATGTCTGATATCAAAGGCACTCAATACAGCCCTTGAGTGAATGAATAATGACCATTTTATAGGTAAGCTCTGAATTATTATTCTGGTCAATCTGAACAACATTTTTCAAGGGCCATTTTTCTTCTTAAATGTGTGTGTGTGTGTGTGTGTGTGTGTGTGTGTGTGTAAGGATAGCCTAGGTCAGAATTGAAATAGTTGTTGGCTGAAATGGTCACTTACGATCTATCAGGTGAAGGGAAGAGCTAGAGAAACAAATCATTTGCTACAAACCTACATTTTTGGTTTTGTTTTTTGGTGCTGGAGTGGAATCCAGGGCCACATGCATATATTAGGCAGGTGCACTACCACTGAGCTACACTCCTAGCTCCAGCAGTGTGTTTACAAGAAGAGTAGACATAGTTGAAGCTGTGAGGAGGAAAAAAAATAACCTATGTTGACTCAAAGGAAATCAAGAGTTGGCCTGAGCAGAAGGAGAGGAACATAGAAATCTGCAAGGAGGTGGCCACATGGGCTTCTCCACTGGGGCAGCATGGGCTCTGTGATAGGCAAAGCTACTATGGACCAGGCACCCCCAGTAGAGCCAACAAAGCTGCCAAGCTGCCCCATAGGCCAAGGCTGTCCTTTCGCCCTCGGATATTGGCAGATGTGTGCCTGCCTCTCAAGAGCTTTGACACAATGAGAACAGGGGCCACAAAGCACTTTGTTGTAATTTTTCTTTTTAGTTTTTTATTGGTGCTTTATAATTATACATAATAGTGGGATTCGTTCTACATATTCATACATGAGCAATATAATTTAGACACAATGTAATTTGGCCAATTTTGTTCCCCAGTACCTCCCTTTTACCTCCTCTGGTCCCTCCCACACAGCACTTTGAATCCTTCTTGATCTCTAGTCCTGAAACAATTCATAATCTCTTCTGTCTCAGAGTCTTGGACTTCGGGTGAAAGGTGATGTCTGGGGCAGAGCTGTCACTTCCAGTGTTGCCCAAATGACTTAGATTTGTGTTTTATTGTCCAAAGTGCCACATTTTGCTTTTGTGCTATTTCCAGTTATGAGTTGTTTCTTAGGTTTCTGTGTAGGGTTGACATCATGATGACCAGGACAAAGAGAAGGTGGTGACAGAGAAGAGAGGGGCTATTGGCCACAAACGTTCTTTCTTTCGGATTTATCACTCACTACAGAATTGTTTGTGAGAGAAATTGGTGTCCTAAACATAGAGAAAGGGAGGAAAGATAAAGATAAAAATTCCTATTCCTCATTAAAATCAAAGGTAGCATAAAGGAAAGGGACCAAGGAAAGACAGGAGGGAGGAAGAGGGGAAATAATAAGGAATGATTTGGGCCAAATTATATTGTTATATGGTGTGCATGTGCGAAATGTAACAATAAATCCAAAATTATGCACCAACAAAAATATGGGAAAAAATTAAAAATTAATTACTTGCCCGCATATATACACACAAATTCTGTTGGTGAACTTACTTATTTATTTACCCACAGCCCCTGCACATACTCCATAGCACTCTGCTTGTGTCTGTGTGGAGCACTTATGGCTGTTTGAGCTCCCTGTTAACCTCTCCATCATACTTACCCCAACATAAGATTGTTTTCTATGTGCTCCCAGTTCCTCACACACTGAAATCAATGAATACATATTGAATGAATGAATAAATGAAGCTGTACCTTCCTGTCCACTGACTTAAAAATGCTACCTGATTAATTTGTTCTATTTTTTCCCCATTCAGAAAGAAGACCTCCAAATATATTTTAAATACCATAGGAATCTGCCCCGAGCAATGGCCATCTGGCAAGAGTGTCAGGACTGCGCCTACTTTGGGGTAATGTTGAACTTAACAAAGTCTCCCACAGGTTGTTCTCCCTGGAAAATATTTATGTGCATCGAAATCAAAAGTGTGAACTAGGCAGAGAAATTTGGTATTGGGATTTATATTTATTCCAAGCCTCCCAAACTTTGAAATGACACATTAGAAATTTCAATGCTGTCCTTGATGTCTATGGACCCCACCTATGAGAAGCAGATAATGATCTGGTGAGAAACCAGTATCCTCTTCTTGGGTGGGATTTAAAAATGGAACCAAGTCAAGAATGCCATACTTTGTGGCTCCCTGGAATGATGCCAACAAGCCATCTCTACCCGGCAGACTCCAGATGACCCAAATAGATGCCATCCTGCCTCCAGACGGGCTGCCTCCTTTTCAGAAAGACTTGAAATACCCACTGTCTACTGAATTTACTTCTGAAAAGGAAAAATGGCCCTACTTCCTTAGTTCCTATAAAAATACAAGTCAAGCCACCCTTTCTCTCTTGTTCTCTCATTTCACATACTCTTTCTGGAGGGCGGGATGACTCGCTCGTGTGTGTGTGTGTGTGTGTGTGTGTGTGTGTGTGTGTGTGTGTGTGTGTTTGTGTGTGTATGTGTGTGTGTGTGTGTGTGTGGTTTATATGTTTTGTTTTGTGTAATTTCTGTTTGACTTTTAAAGGTATGCCAGCGTCAACTGGATCATAGTCTCCCTCTTTTTAAGTATCTTAGAGGACCAAGCCAGAGACTGATAAAATACCAGATGCTGTTGAAGGTAAAGTCATTGAGGTGGTGCTTTTCTGAGCCCGGAAAGCAAATTGCTTGCATTCTGCTGCTCTGCTCCTTACACATGTGGATTTGTGTCTGGTCTTCTGAGGCTCCAGATATGGCTCTCCTTCAGGCCTTTTTCCAAGCCTCAATCAGCCCTCCTTAATGAGGAAGAAGACCAGAGAATCAGAGTTGGAAGGAATCTTGGAGCCTGGCTAGTCTGACAACTAGCTTGGGCATGAATCTCTAGGGGCCTGACTCAGGGGAGGAGAGGTCTTTGGGAGCATTGTGGGGAGAGGGCTGTGGCCACAATGAGGGCAACTAAGAAGATAAGGGAGGTGGCCCTCTGATCTTCTCTGGGATATGTGAAATATCAATAGCTCTAATTTACAGATGAGGACTGGTACTTCAGAGAAGAGGTGTGATTTTCCTCAAAGTTACTATTTTGCATGCATTCAAACAAGGCAGAAAGAAGGCAAAATTGGAATTGTCTTTTACAACATCAACCTGCACACTTAGATTTAGGATCTTATCCAGAGAGCAGCCCAACAGCATGAATTTTGTTGTGTCTGCACCCCTAAGTGGCACAGGCATGCATGCTCTGCCCTAACCCAACTTGCGTTCTCCCGTCCTTAGTGGTGAGTCATTGATCCCAGGATATCTGCAAGCCAGCACTCCTGGACACCCCAGACAGGACTTATGAGGCCCTATCAAGACTAGTTTCACATGTGTAAACCTAAAGGAAAGGTTTGGGCTATCCCTACAAAATGTCTTTTGAATTAACAAGAGTCCAGTGGCTACTGACACTTAAAGAAAAGCAAAATCAATCAACAAAAATAAGCACCTACTGTTTGTTGGGTACTTTACCACATGTATCTCATGTTTCATTTGCACAATCAGACATACCAGCAAGGCGCTAGAGTGTGAAGAAACTGAGGCTCAGGGAGGTTAAGTCCTGGCCCAGCATTCTGCCTTTAGAAGGAGTTACCCTTTCAGCTTCCATCCACAGTCTGAGCCTCACTGTACTGCTCGGCTGCTTAGTAGCCTGGAACCTTGACCTTTGGGGTTTTAGCTTTCTTCTATATAAAATGAGAGGAATAGTATCTCCTCCATAAGACTATGGTAATATTCATAGAAAGTGTGGCACAGTGCTGACACCCCCCCCCCAGGAAGCTTCGTACCATGTGTAGCTGTTATTTTAGACACTGAGACCATCACACCGGTGTGGATAGGAAGAACGAGCTGGCTTCCATCCAAGAATAGCTATGAATGAATTTGGATACAGTGTTCATCAAGGGCCTTTTATTCTTCTCCCATCCCCTTTTACTGTCATTTTTACTTTGGATGTCTTAAAACTGGGCCCTTAGAATAGGACATAATGGTGGTCTTTCCTCCCTTGGAGTTTTCCCACAAGTGTTATTTATGTTAAAGCTGAGTTCTCTTCCATAGGAGAGCTATAGACACAGTAATTAGCAACACAGCTTCAGTAGTTAGTCATACATTTTCTTCCTTCCATATAAATGAAATTTTAATGGAAATTCAAAATTAAGTGAATATGTTAAATGCAAACAGTTGGAATCTCTGCTCTGATGCTTCCCAGCTGCATGAACTCTTTCAAGCCATTTAAACTGTCTCGAATTCCTCACTGTAGAATTAAGGTAACAGTGCTTTCCTGGTATGCTTTTGGGGAACACTAAATGAGATAATACAGATTGAAAGTGCTTAGAAAATTTTCTTAGCCGCTATCACTGAGGAAATGAGATAGAATCACTATAAAATATTCCTTACGAGTCTATGGGAGGCTACCCAAGGCAGACCAGTTGTTCCCATTGCTAAACTTGCTGTGTGCCTGGAATTAGAAGTACTAACTGACAGCATGCTGTGGCGACAGAAAGAACTGTGTAGCATTCTGTCACCTGAGGGAAAAAGCTCATTCATCAGCTGCTTGGAAGGGCATGGATGTTGGACCAATTGCCTTGTGGCTTAGAAAGCATCATGAGAGCCTGATATAGGGAGTCCTTTCTAAATATAAAAGAAAAGGTAAGAAAGGATAGGCTGCCCAACAAAATCAAAGAAACATGAAAATTTGTGAAAATATTAGCAAAATAAGCGACAGTTGGTCAGTATGCATAATTAATAATGAACTCTCAGAAATTAATAATAGGAAAACATAGAATAAAGGAAATTTATTTTAAAAAACTAATAAAAGTCAAGTGTGGTAGCACACACCTGTAATTCCATCTGCTGGGGAGCCTGAGGCAGGAGGATAGCAAGTTCAAGGCCAGCCAGGGCAATTTAGGGAAACACTATCTCAAAATAAAAGAAAAAGAGCTAGGGGGGTGGCTCAGTGGTAGAACATTTGCCTAGTATATGTGAGGCCCTAGTTTCTATCTCCAGCACCAAAGGAAAAAACAGAAGAAGAAATACTAGGCAAACATTTATTTTTTAAGTTTTACCTGACATACTATTTCAGGAATTCAAATTAAAACAACAGTCAGGATTTATCTGTCAATTCAACTGGTGAAGATTTGTGATTAAATAGTAATGCCCTATGTCAGGTAAGGGCTGGAGGAACAAACTGTCATTTATAGCTGGCAGGAACACAGTCCTTCTCTGAAAAACTTGAAAATATGCCCCAAAACTCTATTTCTGCAGTACTGGAAATTAAACTGAGAGTTTTATGCATACTAGGCAGGCATTCTACCACAATGATGCACCCCAATCCTTTTTTTCCAATTTTAATTTCATGATGGATCACTGAGTTGCCTCTGCTGTCCTCAAACTTTTGATCCTCCTGCCTCAACCTCCCAAGTAGCTGGAATTACAAGAGTGCACTCAAAACTCTTAATATTTACAATTTTATGTCTAGGAGTTTATTCCCAGGAAAAATGCACAAAAATTATTATAGTAAAAAATTGTTGAACGTGAACCTTCAACAGCAGAGAAAACTGTGATTCATAAACATAATCCAATCATGGCTTATCTGTAGGATGCAATACTTTGCCACAATCAAAAACTATGTTTTAAAGAAAACTATGGTCATAAGGAAATGTTCCTGATGATATCTATAGAGTGAGAAAGACTTACAAGTGGTGTGTACCATGGGGTTGCATTTGTAGAAAGAAATCTGTGCCAAAGATGTCATTCATTCGTTCCCTCTTAAAAATTTACACACAGACAGTTTCACTTTGCAGATTGTGCAGTAGATTTTGTCGGCAATCGACTCCTTGATTTTCAACAGGGCTTTTGGGTTCATGCAGGGTCTGCTGGATCTTGAATCTCCTGAAGATGTGGAAATAGACCCAGGAGGTCTAGAAGGAGGCTCCACCAAGGTAATGTATAAATATCACATTTTTTACAAAATGGTGTTTGCCAATGTGTAGGAGGACTTAACCTCTGTTAACAGTCTAAATTTTCTAAAATAGTATGTATTTCATAAATCATAGTTTAAAAAGGCAATTTTAAAGTAAGGATTTGCAGCATAATGAGGAGTACTAATGTGTGTGTTTTTTTTTTCCTTCCACATAAATAAATTTTAACGGGAATTCAAAATTAAGTGAAGATGTTAAGTATACATAGAAAGACTAGAAGTAAATATTATAGAATCTCTGTGGGGTTTTTTTGGCATGACAGGATTATGTATGATTTATAGTTTCTTCTTTTTACTTCTTAGCATATCAAATTTGTATAAATGCTGTGTTCTCCTCTGTGTGTGTGTGTGTGTGTGTGTGTGTGTGTGTGTATGTGAGTGTGAATTCTAAAAGACATTTGGAGGCAATGGTAGCCATACCAGATTAAAAAGAAATGTTGTGGCTTAGCAACAGGGTTTCTTTTCAATTTTCTATAGAATATTCTCGTTTTAACAAGAAATTCTTGAGTTGTGTCCGGGAGCAGTCATTTACATGTCCTCTCTACTTAGAGCATAGGATGAGGACCCCTTGCAAACAGAAGATGCTTGAAGTATAAGGAATTATTTTACATCCTGGGGCAAGAGGAGCAAGCCATAGGTAGAGGGGTATAGTAAATTGTGTAATTATTTTTCTGGGCCCTACATTGTACAGTGGAAAACTAGTTGTCTCATGTGTTTGAGATAAGGGTTAATAGAAAGGACAGGGGAGAGGTGCAGAAAGGTATCTAAAACAAAAACAGAAGTTTTGGGTAAGGAGAAAGATGCCTGGCATACGAACTTTAGATTCCTTATTTCTGATGTTTAAAAAAAAAAAAAACCCTCAGGTGAGGTTGGGCACAGTGGTGCACACCTGTAATGCCAGCAGCTTGGGAGGCTGAGGAAGGAGATCACAAGTTTAAACCAGCCTCAATAACAGTAAGGCACTAAGCAACTCAGTGAGACTTTGTCTCTAAATAAAATACAAAATAGGGCTGGGGCTGGGGATGTGGCTCAGTGGTTGAGTACCCCTGAGTTTAATCCCTGATATAAAAAAAAAAAAAAAAAAAAAACTCTGGTGAGAGTCTGTCTTTCACCAGGAAATGAAACTTGTTATGCGTGAGAAGGTGAAAGGCCACGCTACACGGTTCCATGATCTGTTTAATTCATCAGCCCTGCCATTTATCTCTGATCCAAAGATGCCAATACCCAATGCTTCAGTAGACATTAAGAAAATACACTGCCCTTTCCCTACATCATGCTGTTGAAGACAAAAAGAGGTGGGGCCAACTGGGAACAGTGAAGAACTATCCATTCTTTGTTGTAGAAATTGAAATGTTAAAAAAAAAATTATATAGAACAAACCAGAATCTTTTTGTTCTGTTTCTGTTACCAGGTGACAGATAAATATGCCATGTAGGTAGCAGGGGAATAAAATACTGAAATCCCTAACAAAAGCCTTTCAAGCTGAAACAATCCTCCCTGTCACAGCTGTCCTTAGTGTTGCCCTGGTAATAACTGGAACATTGGTCCCTATGGCTTTTCCACTTAATGCCGTCTTTCTATTTGGGAGGTGCAGACTGCACTGGCTTATCTCTTTGGTATCTCTAATTGTGGTGGAATGTGGGCAGAAGTGGGGGAGAAGTAGAGGGAGGAAATGCAGAGCTGGAAAAGATTCAATGTGCCACATGCTACTGTTTTGACTTTGAGTGTAACTCATTAGTGAACCTTCACAAGGAAGCCAATTCTTTGCCTTTTATCAGAGTTCACTAATTTCCTCCTCTGGGATGGTTCTAAGTTTAATTTTACCCATAGGAATAAGACTTCGCCACTAAATATGGGAATATGATACTTAGATTGTCTTTTGCAGTAAGCCCTAAGAAGTAAGGGTATTGCCTGTTAAAGAGGCTAGGTTTTTTCCTGTTTT